CTTTGAACCGAGAGATTTCGGCTTCAAATTATCTCTTTATGGTCCTTTTGGTATAACACTGTACCTTAATAAAACGTAATAAAAATAAGATTTTAGTAACTCTTGCATTAGCAAAATGTTTATGTAAAAGACAAAGAGTATTTTTCAACTTAAAATTAAAGTCGAGATTAGTTTGCATTAATGTGGGTAAAAATAAATATTATGCAGCACTTTTAAACTCACTTTATGGATTAAATTAGTTTTAATCTATAGAAGTTAATACAATTTAATCCACAAAGTGATTACCAAATGAAAGCAATTAATTTACTGCCATAAAATAGTTTTAAAATTTTCTCCTTCTGTTCGTATTGCACCGAAGTTTCTTAATGTGGGTGCGTAGGTATGCTGTTCTAAGTTAAATAATTCAGTTAACGAATACAGAACTTGGTGGAATTTTGATGGATAGAAAATTTAAGGAATTCCTTAAGCAATATAATAAGGGTTTGGAGCAGAGGATTTAATAAGACTTCCATAGTTCATTATTGCTGACCGAAAAAAAATTATAACTGTAGATTTGCTCAAAAAGCAAACCTCCAGTTTTAACTTTTCTGAACATCACAAGTACTTCTTCAGTAGTTAAAGCATTTCCTACAAGTTTTACAAATGAAGGAAAATCTACAGACTGTAATTACGAGTATTACTAAATTATGGGTACTAAAAATTTTTAATGCTTAGTTGAGAACTGTTATACACCGTTACAACTGACACAGTATAGCCCTGATCTTGCACTCTCAGATTATCATTTATATTTTAGACCTTGAATGGTAAAACTTTCACCTACGGTAATGCTGTCATAGCGCACGATGTTTAGATTTTTTCCGTTAAAAACTAGGTAGAGGATATGACAGGAGAATTATGAAATTAACAGGAAGTTGGCAAGAGGTTATTAAACAAAATGGAAAATATATTTTTGAATAAGGATCGTTCTTTATACAAAAAATCTAGTACACTGAAAAGTAAAATCACTTAATGAATAATTTTACACAAATACCTACGCAAAACGGAAATGAAATACAAACTTTTGCCACATGTTGATGCAAGTCGTAATAGCTTCTGGAAAAAATGTGCAAATGAGTTCTTGTGCCTATTTTGAATGAATTATTGCGTCATGATAACTGAAAAAAATTCATAGTTTTGCAGTAAAGATAATTTTTTTTTCGAGATTTCGGTGAAAATCTTAACAACTTCAGAATTAATTTTAGAAACGATTTCTTGTGGCTGTTTTAAATGAATTATTCCGTCGTAACAACTGGAAAAGAATATTTTTGTAGTAAAGGGAATTATTTATTTCGGAAGAGGAAAGATCCGTGCTTTTTGTTTCTCTTGAAATGCAACGGTATTTTTAAATAACTGATTTCGAACAAATATGGAATTTTATAACATATTAATATTCAAATTTCTTTGTAACTCTTTTTATAGCTATATATTATTCAGGGGGATACCAAATTCACTGCACAAACTTGGAGGGGAGGTACAGAACAAAGATGCAAACAACATTCACAAAACCCAGGTCGCAATCCATTTATTTAGTCACAATTACAGGATATCTCACTTCAACTTAAACAAGATGTTTACAAGAACTGTTCAAATTCCGTCCACTAACAGCGATACATGCTTGACAGCATCGGTGGTGCGACTGGGGTACACTGGCAAAGATGTCAGGTATTTCACGCATACATGCAGCAGCTCCTGATCTCGTTGCTCGAAATCGCATAAACAAGACTCTTCAGATGTCCCCAGAAAAAGTAATCGAGGCTCGATAAATAGGAAGACTGGGGTGGCCAAAGGACTAGTTCACCACGACCAATCCATCGCATCCTAAAAGTGGTCTTTAAGTAATTGCGAACATCAATGCTGAAGTTAGCTGTAACAACATTCGGTTACGAATGGAGATTGGAGAATCTTGCAGCAGTTCTTGTAACACCTATTCTAGGAAGATAAGGTAACACTGGCCATTGAGTCGCTGCGATAGTAGGTATGGGCCACTTAAAAAGTCTGGACGATCCCCGACTACAGATTCACACTGATTCGGTATCGAGAAGCATGTGGCCGCGTTGCGTTTGGATTCTCAGTTGCCCACACATGAGATTACTCGCTGAAAGTATAAGAAATGTAACCAATGTTTAGTGCAACATGTCTTGTACTTGACATGGTTTGATAATGTTCAAGATGCTTTTTTCAAATCTTGGACTGCGTACAGCCCATCGTCAATCAGCATCCCGTCTAGTGACGTGGAAGGAACCTGTTTCACAAAGTTGATGATGTAACCGTTGAAACATTCTGTGAGCCAGCCGGCTTTCGTCTTTCCGAAAACATCATAGTTTTCTTGTAAATGCATTTTAAGTTGTATTTATGACTAAATACACTGCTCGACATTGAAAATGCAACACCAAGAAGGAGTGGTCAGAAATTTATGCAAATTTTAGAGTAGACGCACTTCACTGAGTTATGCGAATGATGTGAAATGCGCAGCTCTCCGACGCACATGAAGTAAGATATAAGGGAAGGAACGTACAGAATGGGCAATATTCGTGTCGTTATTTCTGCCAGACGAATTATCGAAGAAAGTTGGTTTTTGTCCCGGAGGATACGTGTAATAGGAGAGAATGATAGGCCACCGTCAACGATGGCACTTCCAACAAATAGATGATTTTACGAGGGGTATGGTGATCGGACTGAGAAGGGCGGGTTGGTCTTCACGTCAAATCGCAGCTGATACTCACATGAATGCGAGCACGGTGCATCGGCTATGGCGAACATGGTTGGAACAAGGAAATATGGGAAGAAGGAGGTGTGCAGGTGCAGCCAGAGTGACGTCAGCACGCGTGTATCGACGCATGTGTCGGCACAAACCGTGGCGGTCCCGCAAGTCACTTGTACCGCGATTCTGCAGCATATGCAAGATACCCTGGATGTTCCCGTGTCGACCAGAACCATTTACCGTCGATAGGTGGAACGTGCCCGGCACTCACGGCGTTCGTTAAAAAGACTGCCATTGACTCCATAGCATAGACGCCAACGTTAAGAATGGTAAATGTGGATGACAGAATAGCGAAACATCGTGTTCTCAGATGAGTCACGCTTGTCACGCTCTGTTTATCCAGTGACAGTTGCCGCATACGTATGTGGCGACGACGTGGAAACAGATATAATAACTGTGGAACGCCCCATCGCGGGACAACGTGGCATAATGGTTTGGGGCGCTATTGCCTACGATTCCAGCTCATCTCTTGTTCGTATTCAGGGCACTATGACGGCCCAACGATATTGGATAATGTACTGTGGCCGGCGGCACCCCCCTACCTTCAGGGGCTGCCTAATGCAATTTTTCAGCAGGATAACGCCCGACCACACAGTGATCGCATCTGCCAACATGCTCTGCAAGGTATAAAGATGCTTCCCTGGCCACCGTACTCTCCTCACCTGTCACCAATCGAATATGTGTGGGATGTGATTGGACGCCGTTTGCAGACTCCTGCCTCGTTCAGAAGATGAACTGTGGCAAATGGTTGAAAGGGAATGGAGAGCCATCCCTCAGGACACCATCCGCACTCTTATTGACTCTATGCCTAAGCGTGATTCTTCGTTCATCGCTGTCCGCGGTGGTCATACATCCTACTGAGTCGACGCCGTTCTCGCTTCGTATTCCGACTATCATTTTGAAATAAAGATCACTTATTGCTGCTTGCTGTCTCTGTTTTTTTCCAAATTTCATCACTTTCTGACCACTCCTTGTTGGTGTTGCATTTTCAATGTCGAGCAGTGTATATGGATTGCAATTTGGGTTTCTTATGTAAACATTATTCATATCTTTGTCGTGTACCTCCCTTCGAAGTTTGTACCATCAATTTGGAATCATTTTGTATTAGATCTAAATCTTTCGGTACAGCATTCTAAGCATTACTTTTCATTCTAAATAGTGTGAAAAAAACTTCAAAATTTGTAAAGTGTCTGGAAGCTTATCATATAAAGAAATATAGTTAGAAATACGTGAAAGACCTTACATTTTAAATAAATTTTGTCTTCATTAAATTATCAATAAATAATCCTTGGCAATAATACAAATTTCATAAAATTAGGAACAGTTTCATATAATTTGGTTTAGAAGCTAATGTTGAAGATTTCTTTCATCATTATGAGTCATATAGAGGTTTAGATAAAAAAATACAATGAAGGTGCACACATAATATTAAGTAATAGTACCGACAGTTTTATTAAAAGTTTGAAAGGAATAATTTTTTACATTTATGAAGGAAGACAGGCATATGAACATGTAACATTTATGAGTTACCTTACTGACAGAACAACCTGTAGTCTGAAATCTTCAAATTGCAGGTTAACCCCTCAAAGAGTTTAAAGTTTCAAAAGTTTAAAAAATAATTAATTAAGAATTATAAAAGTCATTATTAAGATTAAAAAATTGTTTTCTGAACTTGGTATGTTGATTTAAGTTTAACACATGAAATAGTTTTAAGCAAGCAGTTGCAATTAGCCTATTAATTTAAGAATTAGTCCTCGAGAAGTTTAAGATACAGAATATAAAATCTTAGATTTAAAATAAGCTGTTCAAAATGACAAAGATAAGTGTATTGTTGTCAAATTATGGCATTTTAGAAACTCTAAAAATCATGTAATCACTAAACCTGTTATACACTTTGAACATAAGATTTTACTAAATATTAGAAAAGTAGATTAAGACTCGCGTCTATATAGCAAGTGTAATGTTAATAAATAAAATGAACACAATTTAGAAATAAATAAAGTAGCACCACAATAGCCATTGTCAATTTTTATTATATTAGAGATGATATTTTTAAAGGTATTAATAACAGAATTTCAGGATTGATTCCAGTTTTAACATAATCATAGGGAAAGAAAGCGTTTATAAATATTTAAAAAATATTTTAATAGTGAGTTTCAAATTTAAGCCATAAAATATTAAAAGAAAAAAAAAAAAATTATCATGAGAAAGCAAACGAATGAAAATCTATGAAAAATAAACTTTTACCATTCATGATGTTGTAAATAATTGGATTGACAGCGCTGTTGGCATAGCAGAGCCAGTGCGAGATGAGAGATGCGACAGTTGTGGCTGGGGTTTGAGGGAGACCCACAGTATATCTGTAAGAAGAGAGGAAAGCAACTTATAAAATTCATTAAATTCATCTCAACGGAATGCCTACGGAAGTGATATCCTACGTCCGTGACATCCCAGTCATTCATCCTTATTTATGTGAAAGTCTATTTATCACGCGTCTTATATAGTTCATCTCGCTTTGTTATGAAATGAATGCATAATGGATAGTTCACCTTTTCGTAATATTTCAAACGCATATTAATTCTTAAAAGCCTCCCTTTCAAAGTCAGAACCAAAGATCTGAGCTACTGGCATTTTACCATAGAGATTACTGTTAGAATAGAAATATTTTGTTTTAAAAATGATATCGTCTTTTATTTAATTTTACAATTTTTTGATCATTTAAAAAAGAAACTACATAAAGTTTTTTTAAAGAGAGATATGCATTGCTTAAAGATGATAATTAAGAAGCTGTTTCCATGATAAATGATGTTAAAAAAACTTCTCAAAAACAAATTTTGGAGGGATTTTTTTTTGCAGCGAAATAATTCGAAGTACAGATTATTACAAAATAGAAATCAATCAAACTAAAATATTGTGCTTAACGATTTTTAAAATTTAATTTTTTGTTTCATCATATTTTTAACAGCTTACAGCAGAATGGCGATTATCCGAAATTTGAGATTCCAATTCGTGTAAGCGTCAAATGAAGGCATTCAGAGACACATGGAATTTACCAGTGGTCAAAATGTATAATTCCATGTCTACAATTGTTTGTGTATTTAATTATGGCAAAGCACACTAGGGCTATCTGCCTAAGGGGAGGAATGCCTTCGTGGAGGACTTTCTAAGGGAAACTGGCTCGTATGCACGTTACACATGGGGAAAACCACGAAAACACCCATGCAGCCAGCCCGTTTGCGGGATTCGAACCTCGGACCGAACTACCAGTGTTCAGCGACTTTACCGCTCGGCCGCTGGTGGGCCCTACAATTGTTTGAAACTAACAAAACGTTCTTCAGTTGCAACGTTGCTGCCTGAATTTGATTTTTGTTGCTAAGCTTACATGTCACATACATACAGAATCCATGTTAGATACACTTGTTAACATATTAAAATAAGAAACATATTTTGTATAATAGTAAGTATACGCATAATAAGTCGTGTAATAAGTTATAAGGTATTTCTCCCGCTTTCCCAATGTACCTTCGTGGCGTAGTGGTTCTACACGCTGGGCCGGTATTCCAGAGGTCCGTGGTTCGATTCTCGGCGAAGGCTGTTGCTGATATTTTATCTCTCCGGCTGCCGAAAAATCCTAATGTCTCTGCAAAGTATTTGGTGAAACAGTAAACAGCAATACATATTTTTCTCATACATGGCTGTAAAAGAAATTACAAATATACTAGCATTTTTATACCTAAGTTATGATCAGTGAACATTTAATAATTAACTAAGCATTCATTTCACTAAATTCATGAACAGATTTTGTTGCACATTAACTAAATATGAAGATATGTGTTATAAAGATGTATGGTGTTAAATATGCATTATGTGTTCGCATAGAGAGTAATGTCTTTCATTATGCCACTTTCAGATACTATGGCTATGATTGATATAGCTATCCACTGTGATTAATTATTTCATGGAACTTTACTGCTTTTGTGTGGGACTGAATGAAAAAAGCAATAATTTTACTGTATTTATTCAGTGGCTTCTTTGGTACGAGAAAACTTTAATAGCTCTGCTAATTTTGGATCAGCAATTTGAAATGTTGTTCTTTGACAAGGAAGCAGCTCTTTAGTAAACATTCCGGACAGCCTGCAGGTTCACGGATTGATCTGCGTTTAAGATCTCGAATCTGTTATTGTGTGATGGGGAGGTCTTGTGTCCACCTATGCAAAGCGACAGTTGTGGAATTCATTTAGTTCTGCTTGCGTCCGATTTAGATAAAAATTCAATGTGTACATTATTTTGTGTCACTAATTCCATTCTTTCTACCAGAACGCATTAAACCATGCTTAGGTCACTCTTAAGGAGGAAGCCTTGATAATTATTCATATTTCTTCGTTACATATTATTTCTTTAGCAAATCATCATTTAAATCACTTCCATTGTGTCACGCTTATGCTTTGATCCAATTTAAGCGTATACTGAGTGTTGCAAGGTTGTGCTAAAAATGACTCTAATGATTGGAGAGGTATGCACAGAATTTAATATTGTTTACGTGCTGTTTGTCTGGATGGTACATGCTGTCTATTAGATGGTCATTTTATTTTGGATTACATAATCAGTTGGTCTGAAAAGTGTAAACTCTTCAGCCTGGTTCTTAACATCCAGATGGCTTTTCCGTTTGTGCAGCAATTGGATATTTTGAAGGTGAGTGACAACGCAAGAGATCATCCTTGAAAATATTTATACAGTTGTCTCAACTCGAGGGCCGAATGCATGTTCTGAAAGTAGCTGACGGGCGAGAATATTTTCAACAAAATAAGAGTGAATATAAATATATGTATGTAGATGATTAATAAATGATATTTATTGTATAGACTATATATAAAAAAAGGTGGCAGAGGAAGAGAAAAATTAAAAACAATATAAAGCAAAATTATCGAGTTTTTGGAGGGAACAACTAGCACAAGTAAATACGTTTTATGGCCGAGAAGCGCACCATTTGAGAGGACGCTCGAGGGCGGGAGAGACGATGCATAAAGATTCTGAGGACGGTAGAGGCAGCCGTAACCTCAGAAATAAGAAATATGAAATGAGAAACGTATACATGAGTTATACGACAAATGGCATAGTGGCGGAAATTGATGGTATAAGATTGGTATGAATATCAAACCGTGCATCAATTTGTTTCCATCTGCATAGCAATGTGAAATGGACAGCTCTGCATCCAAACAAACAAATATTGACTGACTGAAAGAAAATGTAAATCAGAATACCAACTCAATAGAAAAAAACCAGAAACACCAGAGTATTAAATTACCACCAACTGTTGGCTGGTGAACTAAATTTACTGACTGCGCCGACTCAGAAAGTTCTCTCAAGTTACCTCAGTCACGTGGCCTGCCATATAAGTATACTGTAAAAGGATTCCAACCTATTCATTCTCTCTCTCTTTTTTACTTTAGAGCAGTCAAATAAGCTCAGTTCTCTAGACAAGCGCATTATTAACTAACACATAATTGAAATGTTAACACGGGCTGTGTAAAATTACGTCGTGGGCCAGTTTGAGACCACTGGATTATAAGTACAGGGTGGTCATAAAAAACTTCCCCGATATATAAAACCCTTAACGGCCTTTACTGTTATTTGAAGATACCAACTCTAGATTGTGATGACTTAAAACAATAGAGCTCTCACGGTTACGGTTACAGTTACAGTGAAGAAATTTCGAATTCTAAAGGCAACACCGACTTCTTTCTACGCAAACTGATCAGAGCATTGAAAAACCGATACACATATGACGAAAATTGGCAGCGTAAAAAACATTTGCAGAGAAGCGTTTTAAAGGACCAATGACAGCATAGAAAGGAGGTGCATTGATGCACTTTGCATACTTCTTCGAAGAGGTAACTTCCACAGTATGAAAACGTGCTCCATCACAAGTGCTTGGCATGCAATAGTATTGTGTAACTTCCAAACTATAGCAGCGAAATGTCGTTAATGATACATCATATGGATGCAAGATGGTGCTCCTCCACATGTCACTACATGTGTGCTGTGAGAGTACTTTGGAGATAAAGCCATCTCCCGTAACTTTGCAGTTTCGTGATCACCGCGATCCCCTGACCTCACTCCGATGGACTTCTGGTTATGGGGTTAATTGAAATCTAAGATCTACGCATGAAATCCACAAGATATGTCCGAAGCGTATGATGCCATGAGACGTGAAGTGATACAGATTCCTTCTGCCACGTTACATTCGTCATTTTTGTCAATGATCTCCCGCATGCAAAGCATTGTCGTCTGTGAGGCACGACGAAGATTTGTTATTTATATAAAAGATTTTTTTCCCCACTTCTTGTGTTGTCGTTGGTTTTTTACAATGCTTTTCTTAGCAAATGTTTTACCCTGGCAATTTTCATCATACGTTTATCGTTCCAACACTGTTTATGGTATTTCCATTGTTTCATTGTAACCGCAATCGGGAGAGTTCTATTGTTTCAAATCAACACAATCTCGAGCACGCACCCTCATACAACAATTTCAGAAATTTCATTTCGATTGGCTAAGCAGATTAGGCTGCTAGGGTTTCATCAGGAACGTTTTTTATGACCACCCTGTATCATATGGAAAATTGCTTGCTTGCTTTTTATACAATTACGGATAGATGGTTCTATGCGATCCATTGTTGACATTTCATAGTGACAGAATTCATAGAATTTTCTAGAATTTTTCCCCTTCTATTTGAAAATTGCAAATGAGTATCCTGTTTCTTAAACTTATCTACTTTACAGTATGTTTGAAATAAAGGTTACCCTAAAAAAAGTTGCACTTTTCAAATTATTCTCAAATGTATGCAAATTAGATAAGAGATGAACAAGAATAATGTAAAATTAGGATGACAAGAAGTTTGAGGATTAATTGTAGAAATTTCAATGAATGCAAAATAAGGAACTTAAGATCAGGAAATATTTTGCTTATTATATACTATTAGGACACGTTACTTTAATGTTCTTGAGTTACTCTGACTTATTTGTATAAAATATATAAGATGACTGATGAATTTTTCTTGATTTCATAATCAATGACAATCACAATTCGTAGAATGACCTATCAGCTTTATTAACCCAAAGGAGCGTTATCTCCAGAGGGGTATTAGTCTCGAAACCGCAACACCAACTTCCGCTGTATGCCGAGATTAACAAGAAAAGTTAATGCTTCGTTCCAGCTGTCAGAACTTCGTGTGCCATAGAAAGGCGCTTCAAGTAGAATGAGTGCAGCACAATGAGTCCAGGAGGACAGGAGAGATGATGGCGAAGAGGCTTGACCAGTTTGTCACGTGGATCGAAACGGCATTTTTCGTCGGTTCATTATTAACGACTTTTGAAATTGTTGCCGCCAAATATTATCGCTCTGTATTATATTCAAAGAAATTAAATAATGAAGAGTCTGCATGAATATCTGTATGTTTCTGGCACTGTGAGAAAAACCGACGGTACCTAGAGCCATCAAATTTTGAATAAAGTAATCCTCCACTCGAACATCGGCACCTGGAAGCCCGATTTTTGAATTTCGAGTATGTTTTATTAGTTATTTCATATTTTGTAAACCTTTAACGAATTTTGATCAACAAACGTAACGATTTCAAAGCGAGCAATGGCAACACTTACGGAGAGGGGGGAAAAACAAGAATTTTTATCTATAGCGCGCGAAGCCCACCAGTGGCCGAGCGGTAACGTCGCTAACACTGGTAGTTCGGTCCGAGGTTCGACGCGAACGGGCTGGCTGCATGGGTGTTTTCGTGGTTTTCCCCATGTGTAACATGTATACGAGCCAGTTTCCCTTAAAAAGTCCTCCACGAAGGCATACCTCCCTTAAGGAAGATAGCCCTCGAATGCTTTGCCGTAATCTAATAAACCAAACCAAACCAAACTATAACGCGCGAGACCGTCTATCGGAAATTCTAGAGATATGCTGATTTTAAGTATTTTGTGATATTAAATTGTTGAATTGGATTTTATGTGGTTTAATAGGAAGAACATGATATTTAATAAATATAGGTAACATGCAAAACGTTAAAAAAACGCTCCTTTGGGCGTAATATAAAGTCTGAAGGTTTTCAGATTTTCTTAAAAAATCTTTTTGATCTAAACGTACACCTTCTTTTAAACAATTTGCCGAGAATTTGCCTACTGTTTCACATCTTAAACACGCCAGCTAAATAATACGCGAAAAACGTTTTCAGCTTGAATCCTGAATATATGTAAGGAACATTCTCATCCGTGTCGGCAGAAATTGGGATTTTCACTGCGGTCAATTGCGCTGGAAGAAAAGGTACGGACTTTCCTTTTAAGCTTTTTTGAATTTTGTATCCGCAATCAGAAAGTTAATTATTTTGTCTTTCTGTGTTAAAGATTGTAAACTGTTTGTTTTACGCTGTATAAAGCCGGCGTCGAGTTCTCAGAGTTCAGATCTATACATTCGATTACTTTACACGTGATGACGGGTTCTAACGAATACGGACTTTTATGAAGAAATATTTATACGCTATTTATGCATCTTCTTACTATGTATATAAATTAATTTTACTAGAGTTTAAAAAGGTCATTGTTTTTAAATAAATAGTCTTAGCTGATGGTCTGAATTAAACACTTAAAACACGATGTAACATATTTAACATAGTTGTTGCCATTTTTGATTGGGCATAAATAATAGATTCTGTAAATAAACAAAAAATGTTTGAATTTATTTGAGTTAAAATTTTGTATTATGCACTCAACATATGGCATTATAATTTTTGTTATTAATTGTAACAATGTGTTTTAATTTATATCAATTAGATATTTTATTAAAAATAAAGTAAATAGGAAAATTATTAAGAAATGTGCTTGTTGCATATACATTTTTCAATTTGTTAGACAGTTACAGATTGATTAAATTGGAAAGATAAGTTAAAAAGCTTTCTCTTTCCAGAATTGTAATACTCTGAGAACTGGTTAAGAGTGGTAGCTTGTAGAGTCATTAGGTTAACTGGAAGCAGAAAAGATGAAATATATGCAACCGCCTTCGCCGGGAATCGAACCAAGGACCTCTGGAATACCGGCCCAGCGTGCTACCGTTACACCACTAAGGCACGCTAGGGAAATGGGAGAAATACCTTATAAGCTAAATGAAACACTTATTGTTTTTTGCGGAGTGACAATACTTACCAAGGCAAGAAGTTGCGATATCCTTGGTAGTGTAATGTAAAGGTTACAAAATTTTGGAAAGAATTAGAATAAATCTAACATCACTAATTAAAAAATAAAATCAAAAATTTAATATTTTATTGAAAATACTGAGGAATTTAAGTTCATGCACTAACTTCTTGTGGATTAGCTTATGGACTCACAAGTTTTTCATTTCGTGATGCGAAGGGCGATCCAAAACTTCGTAGAATGGGATATAAGTAAGAAAGTTAGAAAGTTTTTATTTTTCAACATAGTTCTGCCCTGTGACAATACATTATTCTCACTGTTTCTGTGGTACATGGGAAAAAAATTCTTCCCCATCTCTGAACTCCAATGATGGACAGCATGCATACGCTATCGCTACATGCAAAACGCGTCAGGATTTTTTATTATGGTTTTAGAAAGGAAAAAATCACCTGAAACAAATTTCGAATATGAAGTAACATTTGTGTCCTGAAATAGTCATAACAGCCGCTGACTTAAAAGAGCGTTTTAAGCACCCCTCTTAATTCATTGGTGAAGTTTCAACTACTTATATATATTTAGATTGTTTTAACATCATAACTGGATAGCTGGAATAATTTTACATCAAATCTCACTGATTTGCGAAATGCAAAGTATTTCATATATTAAATGTATGAACTTACCTTAAAACATTTATTAGATGAACAGGTAGATAACACAAGCTGAACATGACTACAACTGCCATCAGCATTTTAGAAGCCTTGCGCCTTGATCTGATTTGACCCTCACAGCTAGAACTTGATCTCATTGCACCAGTTCTACCACCAATCTTGTTAGCACCTAAAAAAGAATCAACATAGTTTAATGAATAATAAGTATCCATTTAATTGTATCTATGTTTTGAGATTACTATTAATACTCCTATTCTTGCATTTGAATGATTCCGTTAATGAGTATTCTTAAAATTAGTTAAGCTGATAATCCTGTTTTAACGCAGTTTTTGTACTGATGAGAGCGGGAGAAAGGGAAGGAAAATAATGAAGAGCTGAAAAAAGAATTGTCTACTCTGTAATTAAATTTATGACATGGAACTTTGAAAAACAATTACATTTTAAAGAATTAAAAAAAATAATTGGTTTAAAAAGATGAATGAAAATATTTGCCTTTGAAGTTTTTAAACTTATATAATATAATAAGAATATTTCAAATGAAAAGATCACACGTGGATAGAAGTATTGATTGTAAATTTTATAATACTACATACGAATTAGTTAAATGGTTTTCTAGCGTAATCAAAGTAATGTTTAGCGCCGTATTTAATCCCTTACCCATAAATGAAGTTACATGATCAAAATATTTATCTCCCTAATAATCTGTTGATGTAGGTATCTTCTTAAGAGTGTGTTAGTTCTTCTTTAGTCTGCAAATACGAAACCATTAAATGCATTAATATGCTTGAGTACATATTTGGAATAAGCTTAAACGCAGATTGCTTTTCTAAACTAAACTTTGCTCCAGTTTGCATAAAATCCATGAAAAGTGCCTCTTCAGAGGCATTAAGGTAAGTGATGATTTCCATAATAGAAGGCTTCACACTCTCTGTCCAGGCTATTACGTCTCCGAACGGAGTCAGCTTGACAAGGTGGCTTTATAGAGTAATGATTTCTTAGGAACATCAGTATTCTCGCATTAGACCTGTGTAACAAGAAACGGGTTTAGTTTAAAAATTGGCAAAAAAGCAATATTAGTTTAGTGTAGATTTTGAATAAAACTCTAGCGATTTACTTGCCCCTTCAGTTTACTTGCCTCTTCGCCAAACATAGGTCGAACTTTTGAAACAACGTTAATTCCGTCAGCTGGGCCACTTGGCCGAAATGCTAACTGCTTCAGTGGATCGGCTACCACTGTATATAACATCTCATACAACGTACATACATTTTGCGTGCATCTCATACACCATACATCATGTGTTTTTCTCATACACCATACATAATATGTGGTTTGGTTGGCTTTTAAATTAATTTTTTGTTTTGCTCAGCTAATGAAAGAAAAAACTGCGGGTCTCTGGTTGCCATCGTTTTGGTTTGGAGCAGGGTTGACCTATTTTTAATAATATGGTCCCGCTGGGACAAGGCGGATTGGGTCTCCCTCGAATAGTTCACACCATACATCATACATAACACGGTACATACATTTTGTTTATAGCCTATGAATGTAACATTATGTATGAATGTACATTAACAAACTAAAAATAAGGAGAAATGATTTAACTTTAACAATATAGATAGATGATCGAAATAACAGCAAAAAATGTCTTACAAGGGCGCCCCGCCTGATGACTAGTCTCTGTTGATCCAGGAATGTTTTTATTCCAAAGAACTCTTGTTATCTGGTAGTAGGTGAAAGCCATCAAAGTAAATGGTGCCACGTATAGTACTAGGATAAGGAACAGCTGGTATATGCGGGTACTGCTTTCACTCCAGGTATGAGTACAGTCCGTTAAGTACAGTGTGTCCACTGGTAGAGGGTGTTTCTTTGTGTCAAGGACTATAGCTTCGGGAAGAGCGATGAAGATGGAGATAAACCAGATAATGAAGATTGAAGTTTTGGCTCTGGCGGCAGTACTTTTGAAACTGAGAGGATGACAGATGGCGTACCACCGATCGACAGATATAAATGTTAGAGTGAGAACTGATACGCTGACAGAGATATTCTGCAAAAGCAAAGGACTTTAGTATAATTTATAAGTTTGCTTACATTTTCCTCTTTTTGTTAAGACCTTATTTATCACCTCAACTCTGATACTATACTGCAAAATATGCTGCAGAAACTTACTGCATGTTTATAAACATGCAAAACATGTATCAGTAATAATTAAATTTAATAGAATATTACAATTATAATAATTCAGTTCTGCCCGTTTTAAGACATTATGGTAACTTATTTAGAGCATATTTACTTCAGTATGGTCAGTGTGCTAAAAATGAATTATCGCTTTTTAATCAGGAATGAAAATGCATTTCTAGGGTTTGATATCTACAATTGCTGAGAAACTGAAACTAAATTACCAATCTATTTCTAAAATCTACTGTTGTGGTTTCTCTTTTACAATATAAAATTATGAAAATACCTTTAAAAATTCCCCAAATTCACTATCAAGAAAATAATAGACACTTTAAATGCTCTAGGAAAGAGAAACTTCGCAAAACCTTCTGCTAAAAATAAATGTCCCAAATATCTATATTGTGTAGTGAAATTCTGCTGAGCTTCCCATAAATCGTAAAGTCTCAGCCGGTGCAATGATAAATGCTCATCCTTAGCCGCAAGGGATCGTTTTAGGTTTTCTTCACGTTTTGTTTATTAAATTATTATTTTTTCTTTACTACTTTTTATCTTATTTTTCCCCGTTTCTCTTTGCTTTGAGAGAACATCATGTCCTAGATGTTAATGGCACGTATATCGACAATCTAAGGGTTCCTTAAAAGTGGAAACAACAACTTCGATAGAAAAACGCCTGAAGAATTCGCAGTATATAATGTAGACTTTTCCCATTATCGGTAGAACAAAAGTTTTAGATGTATCGTTTCTGCTGCTTGAAAATGAAACTAGCACACCATTTTATGAATTCCTTTAGAAGTGGTAGTTTTAATTTAGAACATTGCTTGTACTGTTTTTCTTAAATGTTTTGGGATACGATGATTGAGAACTTGTGAAATAATGAATAAAAATCTTACGCATGATAGATAGATTTTTGGCTTTAATAATGAACTTGCTATTTCATACAAATAATTTTGTCAAAATTTTATGAAAATTTTATAGAAATAATTTTAAAATGTCCGTTATTGATATATTACAATGATAAATATGACTCATGTAGACTACACTCATGTAGATCCTCATATCGGCAAAAATTACTCATTCAATAATCTTAGCTGATTAAAAATATGATCTAAAGGAGGAGTTCTATTTATTCATTCCAATGATGAACTGACATGATAAACTATAAAACCAGATTACTTTATGCAGAATCTGAAAATAATTTGCAGTATTTAAATCTTGCATTTTAATAATAAAAAGAAAGCCTAAATATAAAACCCTATAAATGCTGATAAAGAAAACGAGAAAAATGAAAAACTACTCTTTCGTCATTTGAAATGAATTGATACTTTTTTAAAATTCAGATTTAAACACATTAAAATAGATTCAGATTTAAAGCAGATTTTGAATTTTAATCTAATATTCAGCTAGATTAAAATTAAATGTTACTATTTTGAATCTAAGATTAAGTGTATCTGCAAAACTTTTTTCTAAAGACGCAAAGAGTTTCTGTTTGACTAAGTGGAATTCCTTTATGATTTAGATTCATATATATAGTAGCTGCTCAATGTTTATCATTCGAATGTTTCTAGCTTTAGTCACTACTTCTAATAAGAAGCCATAGCGATACCCTCCGATTTTTATTGACCTTTCGTTTTGATAAGTTTTCGAACCTCATTACCCTGAGGGTTCGTTCTTAAGTTAGTCACTTAAAATTCTAGATGACAGGATAACTTTGATATTTAAAAAAATTTTTTTTATTATTATGTTTTTTAATGGAATGGGTATTATAATTTAAGTTATCATAAATAGACTTTAGTGTAGATCTGATTATTGAAAACTGTCAGACAGAAGTTAATTCAACGTTCATGCTACGAACTGCCCACATTAAGGGTAGCAGCTGTGATCGCACTGAACTGTAATTAGAGTGGCGTCTTTCACACGCTTCACGCTTAAAATCCCGAGTTCTGCCTGCTGTTGCCAAATTGAGATAAAATTCAACGTGGAGTATGCCTCAACGTGAGTGCCTTGCTTACATTTCCCAACGATAACTGTCAGAACGAACAGCCCGACAATATTCACATACGACTACAACGGCGAACTCTCAAAAATTTAAATATGACTCTTACTGCGTAATCTTATTATGTAAGCTGCTAAAAATAACTACACAAAAATGGACTTGAATTTATGAAGGGGAAAAACATTTCTTCATTAAAAGTAGTTTGCCTGCTAACTTTTTATAATTTAATTTTAGTTTGTTCAATGAAAATTTAGTTTTTTTCGAAATTTTCAATCAGGAACATAGCGAATCTGACCTATTGAAGCCGGACTATGCAAAGCATTTCTATACATCATTACCTTCATTATTATTAAAAATGATATACTTTATATATTTATAAAAATGTCTTAGGAAGAAAGAACTGAGCAATCCTATGTGTTGGATGTATTCATATCATGTGTCCATGGTATGTATACATTCAAGACACTAGCTTGTGAAATTCAGCATGCAATTACAAGAATAAATGAGAAATCTTATTTCTGTGAAAGAAGTCTAGACAGATTATTAAAGTTTTAGACCCGCGGAGCATAAAATATTCACTGTGTGCTTACTGAATTAAAACGACAGATCTTTTATTTGTTAGCTGGAAGTGTTAAGCACTTACACCACAACAGCAAGCACGAGGAATGCGACAATTCCTTACTTTTCCTCTATTTAATATGCCATTGAAGAGATGCACTAGATTAAGTCATACGAACCCAGGTTGTAACGAGTTATTGTCCATTACACCTTTTAGATCGGCCCTACTAGAGAAGCCTAGATTTTAAGGAGCTGTGAAGTCAACTCTCATTAAGATTCGAATCACAGATCTTCTAGTCGCTAGCTGGACTTGCTAACCCTTTAACACTATAAGAGTAAGAACAGGAAAATGTAATAAATTCTCGCAAGTTAGTACTACACCGAAAGAAGAAATTATCGTCTGTCTTCGACAATTTTACTACAACTTCTCTTTTTCCGTTTTCTCAGCAGAAGTGCAAATCAGGTTGAGAATACTTCATTCGAGAGTTTTGGACTGTAAGACAGAGTGTGTTGCTGCCTCTCGAGGTTACGTTACTAGGTTCGTCAATTCTAATAGGACTATAAATCGTCGGCTTTGTGTTATTACTGCTGGCATGTAAATGTTACGCCAATGAGAAGTTCTGAGCCAATTTAGTTTAAATTAAATTTTATAGCGTTTGACAACCAGGCTTCGTTTAACTTTTGAATTAGACTGTTAAGTTACAGTGCCACAAGTAGTGGCTGTTTATGTAAACACGAAACATGCATTTATTCCTCAAGTTCGGATTCAATAAAAAGGTTATTTTAACTTTCTTAAGTCGCTGCAGTTAGCTTCAGACCAAGCAATAATTCGCTCTAAGTCTATTAGGAGTTTGGATAATAGTTAATTATACCTACTTATTATTCATATTGAAACTAAAAATAAAAGAGAGAAAAATAGCAAAGAAACAGCCTTTTTATATTTTTTGAATATTTACGAAGTTCTTAAGAGCAGTTTCTGTATTATTGTCTAAGGCATGTATGTGATCAAGAGAATTGTCGAAAATGAAACGGAAGTTTCTTTCCTGCTCCATCTAAAAAAGAGAGAGTGAAGAGTTAAAGCATCGTAAATTTAACTAAAATTATAAAATGATAAAAAAATTAGAGAAGAAAGATTTTTAAATTTTGCACCATATTTTAAAATCTATCGGTTCGATAATACATGCTATATTATATACACTAAATATGTAATTATTTGATTTGAATTCTGTTAAAAATTTGGATTGTTAACTCTTGCTTTCGTTTAACAGTGATAATGATCCATTTTTGGATTGACTCTAACGTCTCACTGAAAAGCAGTAAGTCATTTCAACCCAAATCGTCGACTATCCTGTATTGCTTCATATACTAAACAAGTCATTATTCATTACAAATGATTTTGCTTTGTATCTGATGTTGTACAACTTATATCTAAATTGTTGAAATTATTCATACATTCAAAAAGATACATTTTAATGGCATAAAATTAATGCAAGCTCGCTATTTCAGAAATAATTTTGTAGAGAATATTAAAGGAATTGCAATTTTTGGATATTAAAGGATTTACGTAACGAAGAATGATTCGAAAGAAGTTCAACTGTCCCCCAGTACTATGAATAAGCCTTCGATATTTGATTATTACCTTGTAAATTTGCACGAGAAAACAAACGTGGCTTTTTAAACAAGGGCGAAACATTCTTTTCGCTCAGAAAAAGGAGAGAGGGGTTAAATAAATAAAATAATAATAATAATAAACAACAGAAATACAGTTTACTGGGACTTTTGTGTTGTACAATTTTAATTTAACTCTCGCAAGTGAGGAGATAGAATAAATTAACAATTGACTTATATTTGTACCTGCTTGGCGAAAACGTTTAACTATTCTATTGGTGAGAACTTACTTACGGAATCAATATAATACATAATATTAAAATAATAGTACAAAACAATACCTAATTATTGGAAGATAACTAGTTAAGATGATCTGAACTCCAGATAGCCGCCTTTAACTCTTTTTAATTTGGTTATTTTCCCTTTCCAACACCAAATAGGAACTGCTAACAGGAAATCTTTCTAAATTACATTACTAAAATAAATCCAGTTCAAACGAATCTTTACGTAATACTAATGATACAGGTACTTCCACAATGCTTTATCCGATCGTAATATTCGAATTTACAGCTGAAACGCAAACGTACATCGAAAATGAAACTGAATCAGAATTAAATCAGGCTGCATCAAAATTTTATTTGAAAAGCCCGCGTTCATTCTCTGATGTTGTCTCTTGCTACATTGCTGTCATAAAAATGTAATATTTTGTT